AGGTTATCATATAATGTTCTTTTTGTAGGTGGATCCAGTGCTCTTCATATCCGTGAAATTTACCCATATATTGATTTATGCTCTTAAGCTGAAAAATATAATGTCCATCTGATTTTATTATTATTTTGGAAGACTCCGACAGATTGCAGGCTGACCTGCAAACTCTGGGAGACTGGGCTCTGGCTAACGGAATGCCTTTCAACTTAAAGAAATGCAAAGTAGTGCAACTTCATTCCGCCAGGTCACAGAGTGCAAATTACACCCTTGGTGGCCAGAACTTGAGTTGTGTGCCATCAGAGCGCGATCTAGGTCTTATTCTAACAGAAAAGCTAGACACCAGTGTAAATTACATGAGGGACGTCGCCAAAGCTTACGCAACTTTACACTTTATGCATAGGCAGCTAGGAGCTCTTACTCCCGAACTATTCTTAAGGTTGTATACGACATACGTGAGGCCACTCCTTGAGGTGCATAGTATCATTGCTCCTCCTCTACTCAAAAGGGATGCTAACATTCTAGAAAGTGTCCAGAGATGAGCGACAAAATGGATGATCGGCCTCCACAACAAATCATATGAGGAAAGACTGAAGAAATTAAGTTTTTTCACACTTAGTTACCGTAGTCACAGAGGAGACCTCATCACCGTCTATAAGATCTTAAATGACCAGGCCCACCCTAATAAAAGCATCCTGCCATTAAGTGATTATAGGATTCCACGAGGTAACCCGCTAAGGATAGCACACCATAGACCAAAGACTCGAGTGCGTTCACATTTCTTTTTTTTCTTCGAGTTTGCCGTCTCTGGAACGCTTTACCGGTGGCCGTGACTACATCGCCATCTGTGGAGACTTTTAAGCGGAAGCTGGACAATCATGCAGAAATACATGGTTTGTGTCTCAATGGCTTATCCTCTTAAAATTTGAAACTACACTGCCAATGGATAAGCATACAAGCTAAATCCCCACGATCAGTCCTGTCTTCTCTCACTGTACCGACTACTCTGTCTTTTCTTTGGTCACCTTTATTATTTCACTTATCTCAACCTATATCATATACACCACAACCTATTATTATTATTACTATTCTACTTTTATGACTATACCGAATGACCAACGGGTGTTAGGTCAAACTCCATTCACGGCAGCAACTGAGTCCTAACATACTGCACACTACAAACCACATCTTGACCAGTCCTCGCACCACTCTTTTTGGAGTCTATCAGAGCTAAAGCAGTCGAGTGGCGGGATTTACTACGCATAAGTTCACCGAAGATCTGGAACCTCTACCTTACAATCAAGAAGCGAGCTCAAAGAAATCACTGGTTTATACTAGCTCGTAATCAGGATACTGGGTATTGGATTACAATATTCATTAGCCGTAAAGTTTACACAATGGAAAACCTACCAATCACTATATGAATAAGTGACCTTTCAAGTGCTCAGCCTCTCCATAAGCATTGTGTTGCTATCCATTGCCTAATTCTGCTGCTATTGGACATTGTGATTCTAGCGGCTTATAAGTATGGTGTGGCTACGGTGTTGAGTATTTGCAATTAAAAGCGTTCTCTGAGCTGGTAGGTTTAGTCCCCCTCTGATCCATTTCACTTTTACTCCACATTTGTACTGTGTACAACGAATTTAAACACTCAAACACTGTAATTTACCTAACTATTGGACTCAACAATATTATCTCACATATATTACCACTTTTACCGTGTTTTCCGTATTTTCTCACAATATGCATGTCTCCATAGAAAGACTCCCCCCTTTCCTTTCCTTTGATTATATCATTTCCAAAAATAGTCCACTTTGCTCATGTTAGTACCGAAAATAGTCCACATTTTAATCACTTTGAATTCGAACGGAATACTGCCCACCTTCTATTGTGGGTAAAACTTATTTTTATAAGGTCACAGTGTTATACACTAATGTAAATAATAATGAGTAATCAGTGATAATCAGTAAATACTACTGTATAACACTGTGAGACTATCAAAATAAGTTGTACTCACAATGGAATTATACTCTACCGCGTTCTCACCCACATAATCCATGTCTGAGGAAGATTCTCCAAATTGGTAGTCAATACCAATATACAATGAAATTTCATTGTTAATTCTCAAAAAGATTACCATAGATTATGTTGTGATATATGTTTATATTTATGATTCTATGCCTTTTCGAGAAACCATGTAGTTACTTTGCCAACATCTGTCTCTTTGGCATGTTTTAGTAATCCCAGTAGGACAAAAATTCGCTAAGAACAGTTATGTACTGTTTAAAATTGTCATGATTCCTGGCAGATAGAATGTTTGTACAATAGGAAAATGTTAGTTAAAAATGGTCAAAATGGGGAAATTTTGTTTGAACAATGGTGAAAATAGGGGAGTAATGGTTAAATAATGGAAAACAGTGATTCGATAATGTTTCAAATAGCAGTTAAGTTTAGGTGAAGACAGGAAAGATTATGTCGCATAACAGAAATCCGCCAGTTTTTTCTTACTATCGGCCATGCTTATCATCCGCCCACTTTTTGGCCATTTTTGTGTGATCTGGGTTGCAATGTGTGTATGTATGTCCGGGAACCCAATAGGGACAGCGGGCGTAATATGCTTTATTGTTCTACTTTCAGCTGATTGGTAGTAGAAAGTCATCCGTCGCGGTTTGCCAATCAAATTAACTTCGCTTTGTGGAGTGTTGGATTGTCCTTTTCAATTATTTCTTTGTGTTTGTTTATGATAACGGTCTTGTGGATAAGTAGGAAGATTGGACCAAACTATAAAATGTGTACGTGAAGGAGGATTTCCTAGTGGTAAATTGTAGTTATTGTGTTGCTGGAAAACTGGTGCATTTTAATATTCTGGTTGGTAATGTCTATTTACAGTTGCCTATTTAAAATAAACCATTTGGATGGAACATGTAAAGTTCACTCAAATCGCATCGTTCGATAGATGTTGAGCAACGTTGTGGTATTTTCATCATTTAGTTTCCACTACTATGCATTGAGTACATCAGCGTATGCCCGTAACTTTCTCTTCTCAACCAAATAATCACTATGAATTGATATTACTGACCGTGTAAGACCGTACTTAACATCACTTTTTCACAACCCTGGTAACCAGTCAAATGAAATCTCGATGCATGCAATCTGTGTGCTAAAGATTGCATAAGATAGCTTAGGTGTATAAAAGTAACCTTTATGTAACAAACCGTCAGAGTACTTGGATATTGGTGATTTTTTGTAACGTAGTAAGGGACAAAAATCCTATAGTTTTTAATGTGACGACTTTGCATCGAAAGTATATATTGAAAGAGTAACTACAGTTAGTGAACTGAAATTCTGATAACCTAAAAGCAAGTACACGGACATGCTCCCTTTGTATGAATTGTAATAATCCTCTCCACTACTTTTAACATTATCAGCATTTCCATGCTGCTAGTGTATTTTCTACTTATCAAGTGACAGTTGCTCATTACTAATCCACTTCATGAATTTGCTGGTTTTTAGTTATTTTGGTAATATAATTTCCCTTATGGGTAAAATTTATTTTGATAAAGTCTCACAGTGTTATTCAGTAATATCATAATCTTATCATAATCATATCATATCACCTTGATATAATTGTGAGCAATAAATTGCGCTCGAAACGTCATCAGTAAACATTAGTGTAAAACACTGTGAGACTTCATCAAAATAAATTTTACTAATAATAGAATTATACTCTACCATAGTGCACAAGTTTTATTCTTATATCAATATAATTTCCTTTTTATCTGTTGCGATGAAGTTATTCAGAAGGTTGTCATAAATCCCCAGAGAATGATTCTGATTAGTATTTGAAGTTGCTTTGTTTATTGTTTAAAGGGTATTATATTTGGAGATGTTAATCCAAACGGAATATGTTATTGGTAAAACGCATCCCGTTCGATAATGTTCCTCTTTTCTCAGTTGACAATGTATTGGACGTTTATAGTCCATATATGCTTTAGTTATAAAATACCAGATACACAAGCGAGTCGTTTATCCTTGTTTCGCATATACTCCACTGAAGACAAATATGCACACCAATTCACTTACCTATGTAATGAAATCAATTTTTAACTGCTTGCCTGGGTGTGTTGCTTGGTAGGTTAGACATCAATTTCAGTCAAGGGGCTTGTGAAACTATAACGTTTCACCTCGCTCTTGTTACTTAGCCTATCCCTTGCATCTTATATTTCCATATATTCTGACACAATTATTTATTGTGGTGCACTTCCCTATTGAATTTCATTCATTTCAGGTAAAAAATACACTAATTAGATGTGAACCTACTATCTTAATATATATATTTGTGTGGGTCTGTTATAACGGTAGTTTCCTTATGGATGTCGGCGTAGCATGTCAATGGAACTTACACAAAGCAGAAGTGCAGTATCAAATCATACTTTCAGTCACCATGGTAATTTAGAGGCGGGATGAAAAAGAATTGTAAAGCACGTATACATAGTGGCTTGCAGAAATCCCATATATTCTTAGTTCGAGGGACATACAATAAACTGTCTGATGTTTCATAGATAACCTGAGATCCATTTTTCTCATGTTGAAAAAAATGGATGAGGTATGGAAGATCGGTCAGTCATAGACTATAAGAATTCAAGCCAAGGGTAACATGACGAGTGGTTAGCTCTAGAAGAAAGGCTTAGTTATGTTACTGTGCTATAATATGGCAATAGCTGTGTAATGCCATAAAGTTTGACAGATACATTCGGTAACTGTATATGCGATGTATCCATGCCTTTGAGGCCACTCATGATTGTTTACTGCACCTCAGAGAATATGAGACAGTTAATTATCAAGCGTTGTAATCGTTTGCCAAAAATGTATCCTCAGGTCTGTCATTTTTTCTTTTATTCTCGTTATATTAGCTGAACGAATTCAAACTGTCGATTATTACCCAAGACAATTAGCATTTTCTGATACCCCAATCCCAATTTTGTCAAGTGCACAAAGTTCTAATAATGGAATTCCCCAATCTCGGTGAGAATTGCTCAGTGTCAACTTGTCGAATGCTTGGTATGTCTGAATCATTATATAAAAGCATTTTAGACTTCTTACCCCTTCGGTGCTCGGGGTGTCACGGTGTTTTCTGCAAGGACCACTATCTATATGATAACCACAACTGTAAAAGTCCTGACATTAAAAACAAACAGGTCCCAGTTTGTCCTTTATGCGGAGCGATTGTTCCTTTAAGACCGGGGGAACTTCCTGATGTACAGGTAGGAAATCATATAGATGCAGCTTGCCGCTCAAAACCAGCTTTAGAGTTAAAAGGAAAAGTGAGTAATTATTTTTTGCGCGAAATTCTTACCATTTATTTTTTAAAATATGCCTTTATAGAAGACATATAACACTGATAGAAAGCTAATATATTTTAGTTAGATTAAGTTTGAGGTACCATTATGCAATTAAATAGGTTATCAACGTGGTATTCTTCGGAAAGCTTGTGTTTCTTGTAAGTAAAGATTATTATTAGAGAGGTTTCAGGACTATTTTCTCAGTCAGTGTATATATAAAATTACCCAAGGTTATTAATGTTGATTAGTTCGGAGTATATTTGTCTTTCTTACATCTAAAAATTACTTCCCCAGCATCACTTTCTCGTATTATATTTCCAGGACTACTGCTGTTACAGATGTCAGATGTCATAATACTTCATACGCAGCATTACAAGCGGCTTCCTTTTCTGTTTGTTTGGTTGAATCCCGTTGAAGTGTCGCGAAGCTGCAACCAATTGGATGAAGTATTTTACTTTTAATAGTGTAATATATGTACTACTTATAAATAGATACAAGTAGTTCGCAAAGTAACGTGTTCAGAAAGCAATGGTAATTTATATATTAATAGGAAAGTTAGCGGAGATGAAATAAGAAAAGAGGGTTACTATTTCCAAAAGCACGGAATATGTGATAAATTAAAAAACAAAACAATTCAAACTGAAAATGGATGACATTATTCGCGGATAGTGATATCTACAGAAATTTTGAAATTTGTTGAGTAATTGTCTCACTGAACCATTACCACACATTTCATTGGCTCTGTCATCTTAAATTTTGACCATGTACGTAGTTTTGTCTTTATTGAAATGGTAGGACACAAATGACCGAAACGTCCACACTAGGAGTCAACATATCAATACAGGCCGTTCATTCCTCTCCAAAATAATCAATTTACAACTTAAAAGCGGTTGTTACATTCTCATATAATACTTGCACTATTCACTTATCTCCTTTTCCTAATCTTTTCCTATATTTTCACAGCTATTTAGCAATGCATGTTGTATGCCTCGTTGTAAAAAGAAAGAACTTGTACCTTTCACTTGTGATCGATGCAAATTGAATTTCTGTGTCTCACATCGTAATGAATTAGATCATGCGTGTAAAGGATTTCAGGGGAATCAGAATAGTTCAAGAAAATTGTCAGCTGCTGGTGCAGCAGCTATACACAGAGCTGTTTTTAACAGTTTCAATAATAGCAATAATGCATCTTCAAAGGTAAATCTTTTGTTTGCATATCTACACACCTAATTATCGTATAATGTAGTTTTTAACTTCTGTAAATGCGCGGTAGTTGTTGCAACAAAGGATTAATTATTCTTTTTTGGTGTATTGCTTTCCTATCTGGTTGGTTATCTTTAGTCATATATTAACAGTATTTTAACTAGCTGATAAAAGAATTCAAACACTTAACTAATAACATGCGAACAAATCTTTAATAATGCCTATTAAATTTGAAATACATTGACAGAATGCTTTTTTCCAACCAGGATAAGGATATATCTAAGTAAAAAGTTTAAATAAAGAAACAATATGCTTCAAAGATCTTCAACACTAATGACAAGTCAGTGCCTCTACATGGTTCAGGAACATGGTGCACCTGTCACCAAAAGCATTTCCGATATGCTTCAGACTTTCGTCACCAATCGCTTTCATTCTATACTGAAGATCATCAGAGAACTCTGGCAACAAATCAATCAAGAATCTGTTACCCAAAAAAGACTCAGAAGAAAATGGAGATGGATCGGATACACACTGAGGAAACCTCTGAGTGACACCAGACTAGCTCTCGAGTGGAACCCGAATGGGAAATGACAAGTCAGTTGTTGGAGGATGACATGGAGGAAATCATGTGAGGAGATGAAAGTCTAATGATATTCTTGGAGATTATAGGGAACAGGGTTTTCTTGAAGTCCCATGTTCCACTAGGAACGCGAAGGAATAAAGATGATAATGTTTCGGAAGTTGTGTTTATCATCCCCTAAGAAAATCGAAAACATCTCGTCAATTTTTTGTTGACATTGGTTGTGAGGCTGATAGGAGTTACCTACAATAAGCATTTTTTGTTGGTAAGAATTCATTTACTAGAGTTTCATCCAACGCACCATGGAAGTGCTATAAAGTCGTAATAAACAATTATTGTGAAACATTATAGTAGGAATTCTCTCTAACGATAGAGGCGAATTAAATTTAACTCAATAAATTTACAAAATAATTTCTTTAGATTTAAAGGTGTGTTTCATTGTTTCTAGTTATGTATAGCATAATATTCCTATCGTTTCAATCTAAAGTGTAGCTGCTATGTTCATCTTTTTTCTTCTAAATCTGCAAATATTCCCAATAAGGGGGAGTTTTTTGTACAAGTTCTAACTGTGACTTCATTTTCAAAGCATATTTTGGTGTTCATAGAGTAAATGAATCAATTTTAAGGCATTTCTCTAGTAGCGTCCAGCTATTGGTTCTTAGCATCCCGAGGATTCCAGCCAAGCGGTCTACACCTCTCTATGTCGCTCGAAGCACCAGTGAAAGACTTCATGGATTGATGCTGTGCACTGGTTTGACCACCTCAAACTCTTTTACAATCTAATCCTGCGTCAGTTAATATTGCTTGACATATAATGTGATCATTCGGCGTGCGTAACACCTGTCCTAGTTGTCTCAATCGATGCAGGTTTACAACCTCATTCATTGAATTGTCCTGCTTACCTAACACTACGTCTAACCTAATGATTACTGATCATATTGCTTCATCTAACATGAGAGACAGAATGGTCACCCACTTCATATATTCCACTTTCAATGGCTATGTTTCACAGTTGTTAAGGAGAATGAGGGAGAATTGTTGCTCTGTACAGACACCCTTTGTTGGATAGTGAGGTATCATGATTACTCCGATAGATGACGCAGGTTGGCAAGTGTTTTGTTCAGTAAATCGTTTCATGTGAACCAATAAAAACAATAGTTATCCTACCACAAAATAACATTTGTTGTATTAACTTGGTTGCACACTACTGTATAGAACACTTGTATTTAAAAAACGTCATTACACCAAGGCTGTTGTGAAGCAGCTAGCAATTACTACATTTGTGTAGGCATTTGTAGTAGAGTCAAAATTCTGCAAAAACATTACTGCGAGGATGAAGAACATTTTCTTCTCAACATATTATTTTCAAAATCTGTACAATCATATTAATATTTATTCAACTGAGTATTCATACTGGCAATTATGTTCTACAAAAAGATTTTATGTAACAATAATAATCTAGAAAGGAATATACGAGTGTGGCTTTAGAAATGGAAGCTGCCATTGACTGTGCTGAATTGTAAGCATCAAGATGGTTTGTATCTGCAAGTCTTCTTTCCTCATCAAAGAAAAACAGTCAGAAGACAACCCTTAAATCGACTGCATTTCTTTCTTGTCTCCTTTGTTATTATATTGTTATAAACAAAAGAAGACATAACATCGAAGAAGTCCGACTCGATGGTTGAATGGTAGAATGCTCCGCTATCACGCAGGTGACCGGCATTCAATTCCCAACCGATACACTCCTAAATCTCACTTAGCTGGTAGTAAATCCAGTAAAGAGGGAAGGTTGGGCGTGAGACTAACCACCATGTAAAAACACACCACCGGTACTGATTCTGTAAAACTTATGCTTGAAACCCTATGTTCCATTAAAAAGAATAAATAAATAAATAAGACCGAAGGAAAATTTCTTCTCAGTGAATTATTTTCAAGAGATGCTCATTTAACAAAGAATTCATAAAACCAATCAAATACTGGTCACTGTGTTCTAGAAAATGTATTACGTGATGTGAGGTGGTGTAATTTAGAATGGGATGAAAAAGTGGAGATAAAAACACGGAATGTGAAATTACATAATAAGTGTGGAGAATAACCTAGTGCGTCTAAATGGACAGAAGCAAGTGCAAATACTGTCATTGATAAAAATCTTGAACGGTATGTAGTTAATCAACGACACGATTCTCTTGTTATTATCAATTGGCTTGTACTATAATCTGTTGTTCAAAAAGAAATAAAATAAAAATACTCCGATTATAGTTCACATATATTACATACCTTATTTTTTCCTCTATAGAATGCAGTATACTACTTATTTTCTGTGATGAAATTACTTTTGTTTATAGGGAGCATCATCGACAAACAAATTCCAGTCCGGCACTACATCTTTCGATGAGAATTCACATAAAAAACTACAAGAAGAAGAAGACTTTCAACTAGCATTGGCTTTGTCTGCTTCACTTTCTAATGAATCGCCTTTACAATCGTCGAGATCAACGCCTAATAATACCTCCCAGAAATCTCCATCATGTTCTATTTCCTGATACATGCAGATAGTCTTACATTGCTATCTGTTGTACATTTTTTAATAACCTCTGGGCCTCAGGTCGTATTTATAATACATTTATTTCTTTAGAATTCTTCATTTTATTTATAAGCTTTTGAGAAAGAAATGTGCTTGTTTTTGTGATTATATTTCTTTAGCCAGTTATTCAGAGAAGATGTTGGCATTAATTTTCAGTCTTTCATGTTTGTTTTGTTTTTATTATTCATCAGATTTCTATGTGTAATTTATGACATCAAAATTTATTGCAGCCAGTGCTGACTTTTCTTTCAAAATATCGAGTGCTTTGTTTTTGATTTATTTGAAAGAAAAGTGTTAATAGTTTTGTTTAGAAAAGTAGTTTTCATATACACATAGTTCAACTAACTGACTAACTGAGTTTCAACCGCGAACTTCGCAAAGAAGTCCAAGTTACCACACTCCATACAAAGGCAGAGAAAGAAAAAAAAGTCTTAAAGAAAAACCATAATGAGTAGATGTGTGAGGGAGAAAGAATAGTAACATCAAAAAATATGAGAAATGGATAGATCTGTGATAATGGAAACGTGGAATGCATCTGAGAACGATTTTTAGCGATATTATTGACAGTCTCAAGCGATTGGTTCTTAGCATTCCGAGGATTCCAACAAAGCAGTCTACACCTTCATACGTGGCTCAAGCTAACAGTCAAAGACTTTGTGGATTGATGCCAGATTTAGGTTTGTCCACTCCTAACTCTTTTCAAACCTAATCCTATGTCAGCTAACATTGCTCGTCGGGGAAGGCAGTGGCTTGGCATGTGTAACTCTTGCTCTAGCTGTTTCAATCGATGTGGCTTCGCGACCTGGTCCTTTGACTTCCCTTTCTTAACTAACACTATGCCTAAGCTCAATATCACTCATTATATTATGCCACTTAGTACGGAAGATAGAACGCAAACATATATGGTCGAAGACAGCTAGCCTCTCCAGGTCTACTACTTTCAGTGGCCATGTTTCACAAGTGTGAAGAAGGATCGAACGAACCACTGTGCAGCGCTTACGTCTTCTGTCTGATAGCTTAATATCAGTTGACAAATTGCCAGCTGATACTACGTCAGCAACCAGTCTATTACGGATGATGCAAATTCTTTAATAAGTGAACTGGTCAGCGTATTTAATCAGTTCACTCCCTATTTTAAACCCGTCCTGAAGCATCATCTCACATTCAACAGGGGCGAATCGCATGTCAAACAGTCCGAGATTTCTGCGCAAGGTGCTCCAAAGACTTCACTTCGCCTGGAGAGACAATATCATCCGCATACTATAAGTCAAGGATACTGTGCCCTGGTAATAAGTTATTTTTTAAGTCGCTAGGGATTCGTGAATAGTGCAAATACTATATCATAGCAAGGTTCTAGCTTCTGTTCAGTCCTCTGAGACACAATATTCAACTTCTTACTGGATCTTTTTTACACAATCGAGTTAAACGAAATCCAGTTGGCTATTTGAGAAACAGTTATTAATTCCATCGTTTTTCGTAACTGATGCAGCGTCAAGTCAGTATTTGTTTTGTTTTCTTAAGACTTCACTTACACCATTGTTTGTTTAGAATGTAATAATCATCGCATAATATGCTCTTTGTCTTCAAGTTGTATGCACAACTAAAGTCTAGTTTATATTCTTTTGTTGTCTACCTCCTCACTGCATTTACAGTTTAGGAGATTATCTACTCATTTCGACCATCCCTTTCCAGCCTTACCATACCATAGTTTTTTGCCTAAGTCTATCTTTAGTTAGCGTATTGTCTTTGTAAAATGTTAGGTTATGTCACACTTAACTTTTAGGTTAAAAGTGAAGTAGTCATTCAGTTGTGCATCATTCAGCTGATTATAAAATTGAAACCAGTGGTTATTCGATTCAGTCTCTATTGAAATATCGACATCTGTTACGGGCGTTTCGACGACGTCAGAGGGTTTACATCTTGTTGGCTAATAGTGGAATCCAGGATGCACATTTCGTCCCATTTCGAGGCTCATCACTGAATGTACCTGCATCCCCAATGAGATCTGAACCTAGCATCCGTCGTTTCAAACGCTAATGAAGTTATAATGACAGATGTGTTTATTAAATTTACTTAGACCGATAAAGTGAAAAACTCCTCTTTCACAATTCTAAATAAAGGTTGTTATTGGAGGTGATCAGAGCTCACTGGATTACTTACATGTGTCGAGAATTGTGTGTGCGATAGATAGTAGATCACAGCTTTTCCCTAACCCGGATTACTTGACATAATATCATGAATACTTTATTCAAATTTATCAAAGAGAGGGGGAACTTAAGATCACTGAATGCCTCTTTTGCTCTAGTTTCAAAGTATTTAGAGGTTCTCTAGAACAAATGCACTTGAGAGAGAGGGGAAAACTAGCGTCGATCGGTCTGGAAGTGAGAATTTTCCCTTTCAGTCACTGTTCTAGTCTGTAATAATCAGAAATCTAGTCTACTCATTAGTATCACTAAGATTTGAACAACTTTCAGATACTTCCGTGGCAAACTGTTGGCTAATACACATAAATGACAGCCAATCACCTTATTTTACATTACTTCACTTCCAGATTCCACTTAGTCAAATGTACTATGATAAATAAATGATTGGTAGTGAAATTTTTTGGGTTCATTTCGATTTCATTCACAGATAAAAAGTTAATAATGGTGTACGAGCTCGCCTTGAAACCAGAAGGTCCTGGTTTCGAAGCCCGGTGGGTGCGTACTGATGAAGAGTGGCAAACTAGGAAGAAACAGCTGTCTAGTACTCCCAGGTTTTCCAGTGGTTCTGTAACTGATGTCAGCTTATAATGAAATCCTCCAGCTTGTTAATATTACTATTACAATAAGTCAGAACAAGTGACCAGGCGAAGTCTCTTCATCGAGTTTATTATCAAGCTTTACAAACGTATTTAATAATTTGAATTGTGACGAAAAATAATTGGTTATATACTCTATTAAATAGTTCATAAAGTGTATAAATCTCAAAGAGATTTATAGGCAATTAAAAATAGGCAGCTAGGTTATAATTATGATAACATTATAAAAATTTCATGCATTTACTCCCCCTGATGAATTTGAATAAAGCAACAACAACAGTGGTTTGTGCAGAATAATATGGTACCATCATTTATTTCGTTGGCTTCTCATCAGCTACTTACAGCCTAAATAAATTATGAGGTTTATGCACAGAAAGGTTTTAACATACTTGCAAATTTTTTTCATGATGTCAGTTGACAAAAAGTTCCGCAATAAGTGAACAGTGCTCAGAAAATTGCGCCTATATAGTTTTTACACAGGCAGTTCAAGTTCAAACAAAATAAATGTGTGCATACAATGGTAAAGGAGTTACGTAATAAAGACGAAATATGCGTTAGATACAGAGTGACTAATAAATTAGGTAACAATGTACTGAGTTCAACTCAAATCATAGAAACAAGAGACAAACAAAATTACAGATTATATAAGGGGGTGATGTTAAAGACAAAGAATTCGTAATCAGATGAGAGAATAAAGACATTCAGTTACCAGGGCAAGGAAGGATTAATAACTGCTTCTTTCTGAACACATAAATCTGGTTTCAAGCGTTTGATAGAGATTGCTTCGGCAAACTTGAGGAGAATGGAGCTCCTTTGTTTATTGATAATTTTTAAGGATTTCTCGATTTCTACCTCATGACCTGTGTCGAGATGTCTAGTAATAGCGCTACTATAAGAGTTTGTTCCCTTGAGACGTAGACTTTTTTGGCACATGTTCAGAAAATCGGAGGTGTGCCCTTCTTTCTGTTCTCCCAATGTAACTGCTTCCGCAGATACACGTAAATTTGTATACACAGTTGGAGTTAACATGAGAAGGGTATCTAACGACTCTTGACTGCACCAAAGAGCATGTTGTTCGATGGACGAGAATCAACTTAGCTGCAGGATAGGCTCTGGCTAGTGACGTTCTCAGTCTTCTGTTGACCATTTCTGCAATGTTTTCACCTTTAAAATCTAGTTGAATGAAGACAGGCTTTTTTCAACTGTGATTTGTTTGGTATTTGAGCCTTCACATCTTCCATATTTGTTAATGAATCTTTGAGGGTAACCGTTGTTTTTCAGCACCTTTTCGAGAATCATAAATTCTTCCTCTGCAGAGCATATTCTCTTTGCTCTATAGTACAGAGTCTTGACTAGTGCTCGTTTATAGCTATTTGGACGAAAACTTAAAATGTAAGTATTGTCCATTCATTATAAAAATTATAATGAATTACATAAATAAAGGTGACATGTGTGATAATACCTGAAACTGTTGAAATTGAAATTAATAATAACAACTGATATAATAAGGGGAATATTATACAAATTGAATAAATAAAACGAACAATAAGTAGGGCTAAAGTATGAATTGAGATTATCATACTTTAGCATAGACACATTGAGACGATGAGAGTTGAAGTTGAACAAACCTTTTCTGTATGCAAAGATCTAGCTTTTTTATTTCGATGGCCAAAGCTTCAGCAATACAAATGAGTTGGATACGCAGTGATTTGGACAAGATAATTTTCGTCTTGTAGACAACTTTAAAGGAAGAGCCAATGGAAATAAGGTGACCAGTATCAACCAGATGTTCAATATTGCGCTTCTTATAGCCCCACCTCCGCCTTTTTGTAACTACACAGGAAAGTGTTCTTGCACCCTCTTGGACGAAACCTGCATCGACCGACCAATATGTCTAGCTCCAAAAGAGTAGGTGAACTAATAAATACACACCCAGCGTTGGTCAACTGCTTTGTAGACAAGAACATACAGTTAAAACGTATGAAATGTGATTTAGCTTCTGTAACCAAGAACATTGATTTCAAAGACGACTTAGCTGCCGGCATCCTTAAAAGAAGGATCTTGCAGTTCCTGAAAAGCACATTTGCTGCATCATCCTTACCAATAGGATTTTTCTAGTCCAGTATTACTGTTTAATAACCTAAAGAACAAGATCTCTC